CCAATAACACTCGAGAGCCTTTTACACTCTGTTCAAGCTGAGAAACGACTGAGGGCGTGAAAAATAAGTTTTAGTTGCCAGCAGTTTCTGTCCAAGCAAACCAATGCAGTTTGCCACGACAGTTAGAACGAAAACACCGCGAGATCCCAGATATTACAGTATGTGTTCTGTTCACTACGCGGTCTGAGTGCTCCCCCGATGGGATGGCCGTTCGAACATTGAGAATGAGTCACCCGGACAGCAGCTGATTTTGAAGCAGACCACAACCTCCATGCCGTGACACTTGGGATAAAGGCATCACGGAATCCCACGCGTGCACATGTGAACAGAGCACCAATACCGCCTTCAATGACAGCACTACAAAACCCCGAACATGCAACTATGAAGAGGTGCCAGCGGAGGCATCCCGAAACAGACTAAAAGATGAAAATAGTCTGTCTGCACTGTTAGATGAGATTATTCAGATTCTAGAGAAGGATGTGGGAGAGAGTAGCGAGATGTGCAGTGACTTGAGACGACGCGTGCTTGAGGAAGTTGAAGTGAGGCAGCAGTCTCCAGGGGTCATGCCGCCTGCTTCCCGTGGGACAACTCTGACAGATGCAGCAGGAGAACGTGAAGTAGAGGGAGACAGTGCGGATGGGCTACTTGCCAATTATTCGGTCGACTCACGCCTGAGTGACGAGGAGGCCTTCTTGAGAGAATTCGAAAAATTTGATAAGAGCATGAACATGATGAAAACGTGCACTGTGGAGCCACAGAGGTGGGTGGCATCTACATCGTATCTTTCGGCTGTCCGCAATCAAGAGGAAGCTACAAAGGCCGTTCTACCGTATGGGAATAAATTTTGGATTGTTTACGGACCGGACACACTGAAGGTCTTTAAGAATCCGAAGGATCGGCACATAGAGTCAGTCGTGCGTACCAGTGGATGCCGCATAACGTAGAGAGAAAACAAGCGGAAAAACGCACTGGGCCAATTGCAACAACTGGTGGTTGTTGAATCAGCATCAGAAACGGGGTTGAGGAAAGGCATG